TCTAATGCCGACAGTACTCCAACTTTCAAGCTTCATAACTCAAGATTTATTTCATAAAAAAATATTTTATTTATGTGTTTTGGAAAGTTCTCGAGGCGTGCTATAAGAACATGTAATGAAAAATTGGGGGTTCCATTTAAAAAATTCAAAGTGACCTTGTCCTGACCTTGACGACGCCACTCAGGGTCAAATCAATGTTATCATCTTAAGTTCCCCTCGAAGTCCGAAAACTTTTGTCTGAAACATTTTTTTGTAGCTTGCGTATTTTAGCAGATATTTGGATCCGTCGATTAAAATGACTCACCCTGTATGATGTATTATTTGTCATTTTTTAAATTGTATAATTTCGTATTTATCGAGAAAATTTTATTATATGTTAAAACAATTTAGTGGAACGTTTTGATTTTGTACTTGTATTACTTATTGCAATACCTTGTACAGTCATCTAATTGCATTTGTTGATATTGATTGCATATGTCTCTAAATTTACATGTAGATTGTACTTTATTAGCTTGTTTAATTAATATACGATTTGATTTTTGTTAATAAAACTCACAGCGTTTATAGCTTAATGAGCGTTACATGTCTTTGTTTTGAAAAGGATCTCTATTTGATGTAGTATAATTATTATATACATATAACATACTGAAACTTCTATATTTTTTATTCTATATTTTCTTATTTTTTTATTTTTCTTTGTGTTGATTTTTCATTCTCTATTACGTATGCTTTATCAAATATGAATTGGTGGGAAAAGAGCACAAGAAAAAAGTGCGGTAAAAATTAGAGACATATAAAGTAAAAATACGATAGAAGTCAACCACATTTATGGATTAATCTTAACAGAGAATTTATATAATTTTATAGTTTGATTAAAACATATAAAAGAATTTTTTGACTAAAAAAAAATTAATATTGTATGTTTATAAATTACATTCTTATTTTTTATTATTACAAACAAAATGTTATATAAAAGATATTATAGTAGCTTTTTTATGTTGAAGGTGAATGGAGTTAATGTGATGCAGTCTACACATACTGATGTAGTCCAGCTCATAAAATGTAAGTACTTTTATTTTTTAAACCTTATATGTTTTATTTGTTAATTTGAGGTATTGTAGAATATAGTATTTATGTCATTATATTAATCTTGTGTAGAAAAATGTTTTTAAAAATTTTGTTTAAAGAAAACTATTCAATCTTTTTGAAATTTTTATACATAGATAAGTTTCATGAAAATATTTAACTTTTTGCATCCATATTGAACTCCTGCTATTATGGTTTAACCAATAACGGTTCGCAGTGACATAATTGATTTGTGAAAGCTCTTTCCATCCTTTAGGCTTGAAATAAAAAAATCAAAATTTGTTTTACTCGTTGAATGTTGTTTTTGATATTGAACTGCAAAAATCTCTTCAAATGTGAAAATAAAATTTGCGGCCTGTTAAATGATATTTTTGGTAAAAATTTATACTTTGGCAGATCATTTTGTTATTTTACATTTTAAAACATTGTAATGGTTTAGTACTAAAAGCTACAATGTAATGAGTAAAACATAGATTTTTTTGTTTCCAGTATATACAGGGTGTCCCATTTTATATTTGACAGTCAAATATTGGAAATTGCGAGATTTGAGAGAAAAATGTTTCAGACAAAAGTTTTAGGATTTCGAGGGGGACATAAGATGGTAACATTGGTTTGACCCTGAGTGGCGTCGTCAAGGTCAGGACAAAGTCACTTTGAATTTTTTAAATGGAACCCCCTATTTTTCATTGCATATTCTTGTAGAGAT